ATGATGCTGTATTAATAGGAACATGAGATTTTATATTTTAAATTTCCTTTTCGTGCCATTGGCTGAAACAACCTTGCTGTCCTTTTACCTTATATTCTAACGTAAAAGCTTTCTCTCAAGTCTAAATTACATTTTTTTTAAATTACAACCTGCTACTGCTTGCAAGGATAAACTTTCTGATATGTCCTGAATTTCTTAAACTAAAAGTGTAGTGTGTAATATATGCAGAAATGTAAAATTAGTTGCTTTTTGTTTTTTTTTTTTTTAACATTGGACTGTTAAAAAAGGAATGCATGAATTTTGGGCAAAGAAACTTAGGAGGAACAAGGGCAGATGCCTCCTATTTTCTCCAACCAAGAAGTACATTTTTTAAATATTATTATGGTATTTGCAGGTGAAAACATCTGGGCCTGACAATGCTGATGAATGACAGCATGAATTGAAACCCAGGAACTTTCCTCACAGTTAGAAGTGCATGGGCAAGAATATGTGTGTATCTGTGATCTTTTTCATGGGAAAGAAGGCAGTGAGTGAGTGAGAGGTTTGGGTAAGGATATAAGCTAGAAATTCAGAGCTATAATTTGTGGGACATCAGACACATTATGAGATTTAATTATTGTTTTTAAAGCTTTGTGAAAATGAAAAATGCTTTGTAAGCATTAAGTATAATCCTTCTGTCTCTTATATTCAAACAGGCAGTACATAGAATAGGATATTTTAATGGTATCATATTGCAATTCTGTAGTTGCGTAATTAATAATTTTCTGATTCTTTGATAATATTGGAACTTTTGTGTGCATGTTCACATACGTAAAATCTACCCTTCAACTTTTAAAAATTCCTTTACTGGATTTTCTAGCTGTTATTTACATATGTCATGGGAGAAATTTGCTATAGACTGGTGGAGACATCCTCAGTGAGTTATACAGACCACACAGCTTTACAAGTGACAGGCTTGTCAGTATCATTTAAAGTTGGGCAGTATCTAGGACATGAAATATAATAAATAAACGAATAAATAGTGTGAGTTTTTATATTAGCATAGGCTAATGTATGTATGCCATCAGTGTTATTTCTAATAGAAGAGGAGCGTAATCTTCAAATTTTCTCAGCAAAATGTAAAGCTGCGTGTGCTACACAAGAGACCTCACTTTTAATGGAAGAATTTTATGATCTGTTCATTAAGGTTCTTAATAAACTAATTTCACAGGAGCCTCAACCCACTGCTTATTCAGTGCTTCTTTACCCACATCTTACGTGCCTCTAATGGATTCAGAAAGGGGAACAATGGTGGTTTTACTTACAGCCTAAGGGATTTCAGTCACAGCATAGTTCTTGGTCATTTAAGTTAATAAAAAATGAGATTTTCCAATATGCATTTAAGTTCCACTAATAATCTTTTAGGGAAAAAATGGGAAAGAGAAAGCATGTGGAGCCAGAGAAATGTGTTAGAGGAAGATTATTGTAGCCTGAGTCCTTTCTGAAAAACTGAAAGAGGAGAGCGCTTATCTACTTGAAGAAATATGTGATAAACATTCAAGTTAAATTTTAATCAGTTATCATTTGCTAACTCAATAATCACAAAACTGATTTCCAGTTCCTAGCAGTGATAAAAAATTGCAAATCTACCCATAATGAGACCCTGTAAAAGCCTTCAAAAAGCTAATCAGAAGGAATTTATGTAAAACTAGCAAGGTGCCTGTATTCTACCTTGATTTCAAGAACAAATAAAATTATTCATCCTAGCTAGGGGCTAACGTTTCAATACCATTTGGAGAGATGGTATATTTTTTACTATTTCTGTAGAGTAGAAGATGTACTAATTACAGTTAGATGGAAGGTTTGAATGTTGCCAAATACCCAGTAAGAGGGAAGAAATAGGCATTCTTACATCTATGCGGTATTTCACTTACTAAACGTAGCATTAAGGATTTTAGCTAATTCTCTGTCTTCAGTGGACAGAGTCTCTGTCTATCTCTCTCTCTGTCTTCCTTCATCCATTTTTGTGAGGAAATGGAACCAATCTAAACATCATTAGACCAGGTTTGTTGATCAGCTTTTAGAAAGTTATCTCATCATGGACTCCAAAGCGAGGTGCACCCTGAGATACTAGTGGAAGAACTCCTTGGTATATTTGAGTTATTTTGCCAGCTGTCTGTATGTAGGTGGGTGCCAATAAAGTACAAGAATAGTCATGTGTCAAATGATGGCTGGCCTTGCTTGTGACAAGCATGATCAAGATGATGGTCAAGATGATGGACAGGTCTGCCAAGAGCCTAGATACAATTTCCTTGGAGTTCTCCCTGGAGCGACCATCAAAACTATGATCTTGAATAAAACATTCTCTGTTCACCCACTGTTTTGTTTTTGCATCTTCGTCTAAATGGGGAAGATTCTGTCTGGTTCTGACTGAAACCTCCATGCTACCCTAAAGCCTCTCGTGTGGGGGTGTTCAAGTTTTTCCACATGTGCTGGCAGTGTGCAGCCTGGTTCTGTATGAAAACCATTTTAAGAAGACAAAGTTATGCATATCCATTCATATTCCGAGTTTTGTCCTGAAGTTATTAAGGGAATTTAACAGGGACTTAAATAAGAGAAGTACTCCAGTCTATTATGTTTTCTTGTGCCTTTTAATTAAGTAATTCTGGTAAAGTGGCATGTTCTACTTAGAGAGAAACACACCTTCTTTCCAGCCAGTCCAGAACAGCGCGTTGTTCAATTAGAGTTAGATGCACTTGAAAAAGTACTTAGTCATGGAGGAAGGATACTTGGAAAAAAGGTAGGATTGCGTTGTCACACTGGAAAAATTCCCGCAAGGAAATGAGTCATTAAGTTATTCTAGTGTTTGGCACAATCGTCATTGTGGGTGAGAGGGGATTGTCTGTACCTGTGAGTTGGTACAAATGTTTGAGTTTCAGGTAATGACTGGACACTGAATCTGTTGTGAGTAACTCAAGAATGCGAAAGTATGGATTTGCATGCTTCAAATAGGTAACAGTGATCAAAGTAGCACTTTGGTGATGGGGTTAAAAAAAATAATCCCTATAGGTAACAAGTTAATTTGTTCAGCTCGTATGAATGATTGCTTCCAAGTTTTATTGGATGGCAAGCACTCATTGGAGATTTGGCCATGTTGGTACAGAGTCACAGTAGATGGGCCACCTCTAACAACTTCACCAGCAAGTTAATGATAGTAGATGTTACAATGTGTAGTAGGTGTTCTGCTGGTGGTTGTTTCTGGAGACGTCCACAGCTGTGCATTATTTACTGTAAAATTTTTACTTTTTATTTACAGTATTTTTGTTCTCTCACCGATAGTATGTTATAATTCTTAAATTGGTTTGTGTTCTTCCTATGCAATTTGCAGGTGTTCTCATACCTGTGAGGGATGTTGATAAATTTTTTCGGAGGTCACAATGAATCCCTAACTAACTAGTCTATTGAAGACTGATTGCTGAGAGGTTTTCTTAAAAAAGAAGTCTCTTTACAGGTCCCGAGTAGAATTGGAGTTAGCATAAATATCCTTTGAATCAAATTGATCTTAGATACTGCCATGTATGTGGATGTAACCAGAGAAATAAGTTATCAGATAAGAGATATCTGATGCAGATGACAGTAAGAAATTTCAGAAGTCTACATGGATAAATATCTAAACATTTAAAAACCCACTCTCTGGTGATCAGAATTCCATACTTTCTCTAAGAAGTTTAATTAAGGACATTTTGTAAACTAGTAGTTTTGCCAGTGGCTTAAAAGAATTGGGTTGTTTTTTTAGGTGGTTTTATTTTTCTTGCCTTTTTCTAATTTGTTTTTCCATCTCCGTAAAACACTCTGTAGGTACCTAATCAGGTTATGCAGATGCTTCATTTATTGAAGTTTGAAAAGTGCTCTAGTTATAAAGTTTGTTTCAGTAGCAGTGGTTCAAAGTATAATCTATTCCATTTTTATAAACTTTAGGAAAACAGCGTTATTAAGTGTTCCAGTCACACAATAATATTTTAAAATGTATTATCAAATACATAATTTATTTATTGAAAACATGTAAGTTATAAGCTAAAGAGCCCTATCAGGTAACCTAGAAAAAATATTGCTATGGGAAAAGTTGATTGGTAGCATTCTTATTTCTCATCACATTGTTTTGTATGTTGACTGTCTTGCAGCCTCTTTCATTTTGGTCAGGATAAAACTTAAGGGAGATATTTTAAGCAAAATTTTGGCTTCTTTTCTATTAACTGTGTTGGGTTTTTTTCCTATTGCATAGAATCAGAGAATGGTTTGGGTTGGAAGGGACGTCTAAAGATTATCCCCCTGTCAGGGACATCTTTCACTAGACCAGGTTGCTCAAAGCCCTGTCCAACCCTTGAACACTCCAGGGATGGAGCATCCACAGTTTCTCTGGGCAACCTGTTCCAGTGCCTCAGCCCCCTCAGTGTAAAAAAATTCTTCCTTATAGCTTATCTAAATGTACCCTCTTTTAGTTTAAAACCATTACCCCTTGTCCTGTCACTGCAGGCCCTGGTAAAAAGTCTGTCTCCATCTTTCTTATAAGCCCCCTTTAATTATTGAAAGGCTGCAATAAGGTCTCCCTGGACCCTTCTCTTCTCCAGGCTCAACAACCCCAACTCGAGAGGTGTTGAATCCCTCTGGTCATTTTTGTGGCCCTCCTCTGGACCCGCTGCAACAGGTCCATATCTTTTCTGGGGTGCTGAGGGCTCCAGAGCTGGAGGTCTCACCAGAGCAGAGGGGCAGAGTCACCTCCCTCGACCTGCTGGCCATGCTTCTTTTGATGCAGCCCAGGGTTACGATTTGCTTTGTGGGCTGCAAGTGCACATTGCCGGCTCACGTCCAATTTTTCATCCACCACTGTCCCAAAGTCGTTCTCTGCAGGGCTGCTCTCAGTCCATTCATTGCTGGTTGTGTGGTTGCTATATTCACAGTTGTGTTTTGTGGGAAACAAGGAATGATTTTTAACACTGGGTGGTTTTTCTCATTTTTCTTTTTTAACTCTCTTTCAGAATTCCCCACTCTACCAATATCTGCAGGATTTGGGACACACAGATTTTGAAGTATGTTCATCTGTGTCGCACAAGGCAGAGCAATGTGCAGCAGCGGAAAGCCAAAAAGAGCGGACTGTGCATGCTGCCCAGAAAGTGAGCACTCCTGAGTATTTATCTTCTCAAGAGAGAACCGCATTACTTCAGAAATAGGCAAAATCAGAGGAGATAAACATAAATCTCTTACTGCATTAAAAAAAAAAAAAGGAAAGACAAAACCAAACAAACAAAAAGAACCCCACCAATCGTCATATCTTGTCTGCAAATGTGTTTGGAAACGCATGGTTTACCAGCATAGTTTGAAGTGTTTCTTTGCACTTATGTAAGCTTGGGAAGCAAGAGACTTTGACAGTGATTTTTTGAGTGTTGTAAATTATCTTATTTACTGGATATTATTATGGTAGCTTAAAATGACTTTCTGGGAACAAAACCTGTAATTTTCTGGAACAGAATATTTATAGTTCCCAGCCCTTCTCAGGCATTCAGTTGCTAAATATTACTTACTCTGTGACAAAACATATTAAGAAGGAGGATTTCTGGGAAGTATGAATACAATAACCAATCTGAATGAGATAGTAGAACTGTGCTTAGGTTATGGCAATTTTCTAACAGTAACAGCTGACAGGGATCATCGACTGATTAGCTCAGATTTTTTATTTCTGTATTGTTTTAAGTAAAGGCTTGTAGATTTTTTAAAAACATTTTGGTATTAAAATTATGCTTGAGAATTTGGCCATTTCATACCTACTGTGGCCTACATATTTTTCGTTTTCCTTATTAAAAATGAATGGTATTTTACTCTTATTGGTAGTGTATAGGCCTTGTGACCCAGATGCGAAGCTGTAGTGTGGGTAAGGAAATTCCTCTTTTGACGCACCTAATGGAGGAATCTCTGTGCAACAAGCGTCTTGAAAATTCCGTAATCAATCTGTCTTCTCCTTAGCACTTCTATGGAGCATGCAAAGAGCAGTTATTTTCTGCCTACCTCTTTCACTTCCACAGTGGAGAGTTCAGTTTTCAGTGGACATGCTCTAGCTATGTGCTAAGCCAGGAGGAAAAAGAGGCCTCCATGCAGACTTCTCTGTTCTTACCACTGCAGGCTGAGGTGGGCAGCGCCTCACAGGTAAGAACCCAAACCAAGCAAGGGTTGATGCATTGCCTCTGAAGAAATACCATTTCTTTCTCCTCTCTCCCCAGTATTTACAGTAGCTTCCACCTTTGTGCCTCTTAGATGATCTGATTCTTGACCACTGTGGCTTTTAACCTTCCACTGGAGCTCAGTTTTCCTGTTGTGCATTCCTATTTTATACCTCTTCAGCTATCTTCAAATCAGTTCACAACCCCTTCCCTCTGATTTGTAAGCTCTGCTGCTTCTGTGCTCCACAATGTTCCATCCTCCCAATTAGCTGGCAGGGAACTGGGGAGAGCATCCTACTTTTTTCAAACACAGGCAATATGATATGAGTGGCCCTGAGATCTCCAGAAGGTCTCCCTCCAGATTGTGGTGGATGGGAGATCATATGGCAAATGAGGAGAGCTGGTGCTTTTCTTAGGATCTTTTCTCAAATAATGTCATCTTGACGTATATCCACTATTCAATTCTCAAGATGTTTCAAGGAATTAGCCAAGTAAAAGTCACAATTAGTTAGGCTTTATTTCAACAAAGTTTTTCAGTTTTGTATGTGTCCCTTTTGTTCCTCCTTTGTTTTAAGTCAGAACTATTTTTTTCTCCTGGGATTTTTAATCTATTCTGCTCTGTGTAGGATCTTAGGTGGGGTAGGATTTGGAAGTGTGTGAATTGATGTGGATAACATCAGTTAGGTTTTTTCTGATCTGGGGGAAGAATGTGAGGAGTTTATATAGACGATATAAACTTCCTCACACACTCGTCAGTCTGTTTGACAGGGTAATAAAACACAAAACATTTTGCTTTGGTCTTCAAGAAGACTCTTGGAGTCTTTCTTCATGGATAGATGGGTCATATTTTGTGTTTATCTGTTGGGCAGGCGCACTGCACGCTTCACTTTACAGCCTCGATCCCCAGTTTCTGAGACTTGTAGTCCTATGGAAGTGGGCTGTGTCTCCCTTCTCTCATGCCCCCCTTCCTGAGGGGCAGGAAGTACGGTTGTGTGCCCAGCACATGGATTAGACGGAGCCTGTAAAACATAATCATACTATAACAAGAATCCCTAAGTTTAGCACTGTTAGCCATGTTCTTGCAGACTTTACAGCTTCCCAAAGAGTACGATAATCATCTAGAAAAAACTTACAAAGGAGCTTCATACAGAACTCCAGTCTCGTGCTGAGGATTTGTGAGCACAGAAAAGATTAACTGAGGGGAAGAGGAGAAGTGATTCTTGCAGTGTCTCCATGCTTCCTTGGCTGGTTTCTCCAATGTAAGATTATTTTAAATTTAATGAATAAATTGATTTCTAGTTTCTGTTGATGTATATAGATACTGCATTTTTAATAATGATTGCTTCTATCAGTGGTCATAAGGCAAGGTTGAATTTAATTCAGGGTTTAAGTCACAGATTTTTATACTTTAATTTAAACTACCTTCAAAAGTATTCATGGAAATATTAGGTCCACTACGCTTACTTTTCAGAATTGTCCGCTGGCACTCCCCATAACCCTCAAAAAACCACCTGAAAATATGTTTTCCCTTTAAAGCTATTGGCAGTTTTGTGGTACATTTATATTGAAGATACCTGTTCTGGCTTAGTGCAGGAAAACTTTAATTAAGCCACTGTTAATTGAAAATTAGTGTAGCATATTTCATTGGCTGATTATCTGTTCATTAGTGTGAAGTAATGTGTGGACTATCACTTGTTAGCTGCATTACTTTATTTTGCATAATTACTTTTGTGGAAGTCAGTAAAGCAGTATGATGCTGTATTCATGTATATGATTTCCACCAAATTTAATACAAAAGTGCTATGGGGTTAAGATCATCAAAAGTATTAAGATATACTGCTTTTAAAATTCCCTTTTTTTTCCCTCCCTTCCCCTCAAGCATTTTACAGTTAATTTTATTGTGTTGGGAGCAAGTCCTCCAGTATTGTGTCAGATGTAGAAGAAATTCATCATGGTTTGCCTTGCAACTTGAAGGGAGTGGGCGTGTGAAAGTGGGCTGTCCACTTCTTGCAAACACTGGGATGACATTCACATTGTCTCATCTCTGTCTAGACAAGGGTACGTGGTGGAAATGAGGAAGAAACCTGTGTTTAATTTCTATTGATAAAATGTCATTGGTTCTTCCTGCTTCTGTTCCAGTACCGGTTTAGGAACATTAACACTTTTCTTTTGTAATCTGGTGTCAGAAGAACTGTTTTTGTCATTTGATTTCTGTGTCCCATTTTGGTAGAATGTCTCAAAAGGAAAGAGAATGAGGGAGAGGTAGCTGGCCACACATTTAAAGAAGTAGACTGGATTTAGGAGGATCTGAGGCTTTGTTGCAACTTTTGTATGACATACAGGCAAATAATTTCCATTACCATCCAATCATTTCCTCATTTTTACATGGGACTATTATTACTTCCCTTCTCTCAGCCTTTGCTGGCCTAGTCTACTGAAATTATAAAATATCTGGGAAATGAATGATTTCTGAGTTCTGAATATGTACCTACCCACAGTCCTAATATAAAATGATCATAGTTGAGGCTTAGTGTAATGCAAAATGTAGTCACAGAGAGTAAATGATGTTCCATGCTGAGTGATGCTTAGTATGTGTGTATCGTTTTCTGTTTGTTCTGAAAAGCAAGCTTACAAATTCCTTAAACAATTTATTAAAATAAAAATAGAAAAGCTGCAGTATTGCTTTGTCTTTGAGTTGAAATTGTTTACTCCTCTTGGATTCAGTCAAGTAGGACCCCCGTGCAGATACAGTCCGGTGATGTGTAGCAAGTTTTTGGCAAGGCCAAGATCTAGTTTAGAATCTTCAGGGAGTGAAAAAATAAATCTGGAAAAAAAAGAGGTTCCTAGTGACTGATACAAACATCACTGCTGTGTCTTGCCAAGCAGAGCATATGGTTTAGGCTTAATGAAAGGCAGGAGCATTGGTTGAATTTGAAGCACATCCTAAATAGTTTTTTGCGTGTGTTTTTGGTGTGTTTTTTAAATTGGAGCATGGTCTTAATGAACATTGAGCTGAAAAGCTGAAAAGGTGCTTCAAGGTTGTGTTCTGAGGGCTGATGAAATGCCAAGCTTCCATCTGAGGGAGATGTGATTTCGCACAGTAATTATAGGTGCAGCGTTCCTGGCTATACCAATCTCTGGAGAAAGTTACAGCTAAAGTTCTGGTCTCATGATCACTTGATACTCAAAAGCACTGTTTACAAGAGCTCCTAGACCTGTTTTCTGGAATTAAATCCTATTTGGGTAATCCTGCTTGATCTTTAAAGAATATATTTCTTCTCATTTACATTTTTCCTTTCTCACTCACTTTCCCAGACTGCTGTGCATATCTGAATGTTTAAATTGATTATACTGTCACACCTTATCCCATCTTAGATGTGATAATATTTCATCACTAGAACACAGCAGGTGCTGGAGGCAGCTGCTGAGGATTGTGTTGTGGCTAGCCCTCAGTACCTGTGCAGGTGACCTGATGGGAAAAGGCAGAGGGACAAGTCCTTTGCCTTTGTCTAGGGCTCCCACCCACTTAATGCTGGCTCTGGTTAGCTGGGAGGTATTTAATATGTAGCATTATCTTCTTTCTGAAGTGCACAGAATTGAAAGGTGCCAATGTGAATGATGATATTTTAGATACCTGCTAGTTCGCCATTTCAGGTTCATCCTGTACAAAAGAGAAATAGTCCTTAGAATTTTATTTCAGATTCAAATGAATGTACCTAAAATGTTCATGTCCTATGCTATTTTTTTAAGAAAATGCTAGGATTTATACATCTTTGTTATTCAGTTTACAGGGTCTTTGACTAAGTGATGTTATAAAGTTGTAAGAATACTCCAGAAGCATTGGCAACATGACCTGACTTGTGTGTTGATGAAAGTTGTTTTACTTGTCAGTAACACTCCCAATGGGCATGCAAACTGTGAGAGACTGTTCCAAGGATCTGAATAATTTAATGTGTTACTGTACTTTACTGGGTCACAGCCCAAGACAGTGGGTTGTCTTGTTTTGTGTTTTCAGGCACTGACATGCCTGTTGAGTGTTTATGCAAGCTCAGATTTTTATTTTTAAACTAAAACACAGAAAATAAACCAAAAGATTACTTACATAGAACACTAGTATGCGGGCTTTTTTCAGTAGTTCCACGGTCTAGTTTAGTCAGCTGGTAGCAGTTTAAAATTATCCTTGGTGTAAATTTAAATGTTCATGATAAAAACCTGAGGACTTATGAAGGCTAAGCAGTTGAAAATTGTAGGCTCCAAGAGGCATAATTTTAAATAGTAAACGGACATGTCTTTCTCTATTCTGCTTATGAAGTACTGGGAAAAGTACTTCTGAATGAAGTATCTGTCTGCAACTCAAATGCAGAGCAAGGACTTTTGTTTGGTTCATCTCAATTTTCTACAAATTGTAATAGGAAAATTTTATTTTCCACCACCTTACAAGAAACTTGGAGGATAATCTAGTGCCGCAGTTTGTGACACTTTTCTCTTCCAACTTACATCAGTGCCCTTGAGCAACATCAAAATAAAATCACTTGGATTTATTCCATAGTCGAAGAAGTGTGGATTGCTGGGATAGCTCCTCCTAATAAGCCATGATGATGTCTGTGTATCTGGAGGAGGTATCATTATGAACCCCCTATTATTCGTTTGTCTCTCCACTGACCTATAAACGCTTCCCTTTGGTGTAGGTCTGCAATTCTAACTGTACACAGAAAGATGAGGCATAAGTAAAGAAAAACTTGAGTTAGGTTATCAAAGTAAGTTATTTCAAAAATTGTTCTGTGAAGCATAAGGGCTTTAGGGTGGCAATTTCTGATGTTACTCAGAGCCTTTCTGTCCTGGCTTGCTGCTTCAAACTTGTGTCATGCTGCTTTTCTGAGGGCTGTCTGTCCAATCGCAGGGCTAACTGCAAAGCTCCAAGCTCCTATTGCTTGGGTTTATTCTTCTATTTCCCACCTTATAGTTGGGGGGGAACCAAGAGGGAGAAACGGAAGAAGCTGGTTTAACGCAGACACCCTTTATACATTGGGCTATTATAATCCGTTAGGGGGCTTTTTAGTATTTTGAAACAGTATGCCACAAAATGTAAGTGCCCCACAATTAATTTTTTTTGGCATGCATTTCATTGGATTGTATTACATGTCAGCAGTCTGAATATTAAGAGGTAGGGCCTCAGAATTGAAATACATGTAAGTAAATATTTTGAAAAATACTTCCTGTCAACTCAGTCTGAGGAAATTAGATATACAGTGTGTGTCAAAAACTCTTTCTTTTTTCTTTCATTGAATGGCTGCAGAGTGAAGCAAAATCATGCATCTCTTTAATTACAATCTTTCATGCATGGTACTTTAGGAAGATACATGGGTGAAATGTGTGATGACCGAGAAGGAGTCCCTCTAATTAGTAGCGTTTGAAGTTGTGTTTAGAGCTCAGATGAAAGAGTGGGTTTAGGTTGCGTGGGAAGCAGCATGGAGAGAAAGTACCTGGTAGCACGAGCTGGTTGGGACAGGGAGTTTCTGGGACGGTTCCTCTTCCTGCAGTCACTCTTCCCTGTCTCTGTTCACAGCTCCTCCAGGGCCTTGTCCTCAAGCTGCAGTGGTCTGCCAAGGAGAGGATATTCCTCTCCGGGTCTTTTACTTTTCTTCAGTCCCTGTCAGCCATTTAACTTCACTGCTTTTTTTATCCTCAAGGAGAGAGTCTTTCATATCAATGCAGTAGCTGCCAACTTGAGATCAAACTAATTCTAGCTGTAGTTATTTTTAACAGTACAACATAACAATCCATTATGCTCCAAATAGGTGGGGTTACTGAAAGCTTTATTTCACGCTCTTGTGTACAGGCAAACTGACGGGAAGCAGATGTTCTCTTAACATACTCTGAAGTTAGGCCAGACACAGTAAGCGAAACTTCCTTACAGGTACTTGGGTCTGAGTTAACAAGAAAAGCAAATGCCAAAATAAAGGAATTGTCTGTTGTTATTTATTTTTTGCTTTGTTTTTTTTTTTATTTTAATTGGAATAATTTCTGTCCTCTTCAGCAAGGCATCCTGTCAAAACTAGTTGAGTTCTTTAGAAGTTGGTTTCCTTTTCCACAATATAAGAAAAACGATGACATACTTCACCGACTGGTAAGTGACCACTTATGTTTTTTCCCATTTTCTTTCCTAATCCACAAGTCTTCCTCTCCTCTGTACCTCATCCTCTGAGCACCATCTTTGGTCTGTACTGTTGGTTTTGGCTCTAAGAGCTTTGCTTTTTCCTCGGATTATATTGATTCTGGTTTTCAGAGTTAGCGTGCCAAGCACACCAGGCACACAAGAACAGGAAAAACATCAGTTGCCAGTTTGAAGATATTAAAAATGTGGAAGAGAAATTAAAATAAAATGTGTGAGAAATTCAAGAAATTATTGAAAGCTGAAAGGAGTTAACCTACAGTGTAGCTACCCCATTTGGTGGAAGGCAGTGTGGCGACTGACTGAAAAAGTCCATACGTTGCAGGCTGGCACCTTACAGACACAGCTGAAGACAGAGGGCTCTAGAGCTTTATCCAAGTCTTGCTTCACCCTCTGTTTCAGCTTGTCAGCTCAGGCATAGCACAAACACAGTGCAGCTGTACTACTCAGGGACCCATCCTGGCCTATTTGTTTCTTCACTGCTCTCCACAGTGCTTCTGCATTCGGGAAGAGTGAAGCAAAGTAAGGCGCCTCTGTTACAATGCTTCAGAACAGTGTTACGCATTAAGAGCAGAGGACATCTGTGTAGCAGTCTGGCCGTAGGGAGAGGCAAGAACAGTTCTCTGCGCTGCCTATGTGCTCTCATCTCTGCGGTTCAGAAGCAGGTTGGGTGTCCATCTGCCTCACTAGAAGTTGTATTCTCCTACCTCTGGAGCCTGCAGGAACTTCTAGGGCCCAAGTCAGCCTGTGTGGGGCAGACCTGAAGGGTCTTATGTTCCTAGTCTGGCTTGCAAATGTCACATTAGTCACACTGTTCCAGAACCTAAAAGTTACAATTTTTGATTTATTTTTTTCTACTATAATATAGGGATGATGTCTTCAAATGTGGCTTCAAAACAAAACAAAAGTTGAGCAACATGAGAAGTTAGGGGTTTCCATTTCTCAGAGAGTTCTATTGAGTCTAACTGCTATCTCTTCTTCCTTATCTCAAGCAGACAAAATTTCCTCTGAAACCTCCCATTTGTGATCTTTGGTTGTCTCTTTTCTTCCTCCCTCTTCCCTTATGAATCAAAGCTATTATCTTCACAGCCTTATTTAACCTTACTTTCTTGAGATGGATACACAACCAAACAATATGGAAAACATGTTTCTCCTGCTGCATGCTACAGGGTACTGACATGACAGAGGATGCGTCGGAGGAGGGCAGAGTTTCCTCTTACACACAGTCCTGAAACAAATGTTTTCCATTAAAAGCAGAATGCAAGTTATTGTGGGTGACAACAATGTATGGAATTATACTTTTGACTAGCTATCTTATGGTTTCATAAATAATCTTCTGTTAATGACAGAACTAAACAGAGTCTGTACTGTGAAATGTCAAACTTCTGTTAACAGGTTCTGTTAGAGGGTGTTGCAGAATTATTCTCCTTTCCATCCTGTAATCTTGCTACATACAAAGATGCACATGTTCAGTGTTTATTTGGTTTTGTTATGAGATTCTTAACCTGAAGAGATTCATGTTATGAGATTCTTAACTTGAAGGTTTGTAATTATAATTTGGTGCCGTATGCAAAATAAAATTTCAAGGGGCTTCTCTGATGGATATATTTGTCTTCAAG